GCGCCGGGCGGGGCGGGCGGGAGCTTCCCAGAGCCGCGGCCGGGCGCGGGGAGCAGCGCACTGGGGAGGCGGTGATGCGCGGTCCGTTTTCGTACCCCGCGCAGCTTCCTAGAGCCGGAGCCTTGCGGTCCGCTCCCTGATTGTGAGTTTGTGCCGTAGGGTGGGTCTCTGAAGACAGGGAAGATGCCAGAAGGGGAGAAAACGAGGCAGTGCAAGCAAGAAGAGGAGCAGCAGAAAGAAGATGAACAGGAGGGTCTTATTGAATTCTACAGTTCGTACCAGGAGCTATTCCAGTTCTTCTGCAGCAACACAACCATCCATGGGGCTATCCGCCTGGTATGCTCTAAAAAGAATAAGATGAAGACAGCCTTCTGGTCCGTTCTCTTCTTTTTCACCTTCGGCTTAATGTACTGGCAGTTTGGGATCCTCTACAGGGAGTACTTCAGCTACCCTGTCAATCTCAACCTCAACCTTAACTCCGACAGGCTGACTTTCCCAGCCGTGACGCTGTGCACCCTCAATCCATACAGGTAAGAAATAGACATCCAGAGCTGTCAGCTGCCTTAATTTTTGCGGGCGTACGACAAAAGCATGCACTCTTGTTCTCCTGAGGATGGTCATTGACCGTCCCCTTCAGTAGCAGCGGCGGTACCAGTGGCAGGGACACTTTTTCACAGGACTGTGCTGCAAGGCATTCAGAGGAAGGCGTGTTAGTTTAGGCAGTTCGTCTTGGTGGTGTGTGTTAGTAGGCTGCACTGGAGACTGCCACAGGGCAAAACCAGATGCGTTTACTTCTCTCCTGTGAGGACTGTAGCCTCCAGCAAGGGGTTGTGTTTTCAGCTGGTGGCAGGAATGTCCTGAATTACCCCAGCAAAGCTGGTTTGCTGCACATCTTATTCCGAGCTGTTCATGCGTATACAGCCCTAAACCTGCAGGCTCCTCTCTCCCCCTCTTATAGATACAGCGCCATCCGGAAGAAGCTGGATGAGCTGGACCAAATCACGCATCAGACACTGCTAGACCTTTATGACTACAACATGTCTCTGGCACGTAGTGACTGGTCCACCCTGTCGACAAGAAAGCGTAGCTCAAGGAGCTTGCTCCATCACGTCCAGCGCCACCCGCTGCGACGGCAGAAGCGGGATAACTTAGTCAACATGCCAGAGAACAGTCCCTCGGTGGACAAGAATGACTGGAAAATTGGCTTTGTTCTGGTGAGATCCCTAGATATCTTTATGTCCTACCCACTCTGGTCTCTGCCTAGCTATTTCGGTCTTCTTAGACCCTTGGCCACCCTTTTCCCTGCATGTAAGTCTGATTAAGCAGCAGTAGCTTTTGCTAATGAGAGATAAAGGTAGATCAGAAGCCTTTGCCCAACACAATCCTGCTCCCCAAATCCTGTCTCTATCCACATGGGCCCCAAGAGTCTGTATCGGTGCCCATCTTTTCCTACATAGAGCAGGGCAACTTTGTCCTTCCTGAAGGCTACATCAGCGTTGCAGTTGCCTTTGGAGAGCCATTTATTAACATCAACCGCATTATTGCTCAATAATAGCAAAGGGGAAATCATGGGAGGGCTGTAGGTCACGTGAAATGTGATCATGGTCGCATTTGCTTCCAGGTAGCACCTTCTTCGCCCCAGGGTATCTGTGTTTGCATCTTAAAAAGCTCCGAAGGACTGGAGTTAATCGCTTGCCATTTAACTGCAGTTCCCACAGGATCACAGATTTTTTTTCTAGACACACCCTGAGGAAGAGCTCTCCATGCAAGAATTTAAAGTTTCTGGATTTATACCACATAGCATTTATATGCAGCAGAGCACCCTGCACACCTCACTGCTGCGTGGTGCCTCCTGGGTTTTACTCAGCCTTGTTCATTCACCTGATGTTTCCCTTCCACCGAGGAGCTGCCCTGGTTTTGGTTTTCCCCATCCTGCTGATTGCCTTTTGGTGGAGTGCAGGAACCCTGTGAAGCTCCCAATCCCTCAGGTTCACTTCCTGCCTGTGCTGAGGGAACACGGTTAATCCACAGCCACGGCTTTGCCTCCTGGACAAAGCTTCTCTGAAATGGCCGGTTGTCTCCTTCTCTTTGTAGTGCAATGAAAACAACAAGGACTGTTTCCATCAGGCGTACTCTTCAGGGGTGGATGCCGTGCGGGAGTGGTACAGCTTTCACTATATCAATATCCTGGCACAGATGCCTGATGCAAAAGCCCTGGATGAGTCTGACTTTGAGAACTTCATCTATTCTTGCCGCTTCAATGAAGCGACATGCGACAAGGCGTAAGTGCTGGAAACATCCCAACAAGTCTTCCTGAAAACACCCTTGTTTTGTGCCTGGTTCCACGGGGCATCAAGAAACCCACGGTAGAGATCCTCTTTCCCAAGACAGGATTGTTCCTTGTTCAGTTCCCATGGTCTCAGATTGTTTCTTGAGTCTTTCCTGTGGCTTGTGCTCATGAGGGGCACAGTTTCTGTGACCTGAAACTGTGAGCCTCAGAGAATGGTTTCTCATTTTCCTGGGTTTCACATAAATGAAATAGTTATACTGGTAAAACCCCAGAGTGGGTACAGGTGTGCAGTGCAAGTCTCTTTATTCAACTCTCTGCAGTGATAAAGTGGTACATATTGGCCTACGTACAGGAGGAGGAGAAGAGAGAGTTGTTACAAAAATACAGTTAAAAAAAAAAAATAAATCCATCTTCTCTCCTGCCATTTTTTGGTCAAAAAGCCCCAAAGAAGTGGCAGAATGAAATCCATCAGCAAGGGAGGAAGAGAGGTAGGAAGAGCTAAGAATTTTGTCAATATTAGGAAGATAATAAAAGTAATTGCTAGTACTGCTAAAACCTATTTGGTCTCTCAAGCGTTAGCACTAGGAACACCATAGTGTAAAAACCTGTCCAGCTCCAGGACATTTTTTACAGCACATTTTAATTGCTTTTCCCTGTTCAGGCAAGTTTACATAACAAATACTGCTCATCTGCCATAAACCCCTCTCCCTGCAGGTGGAAAAACACTGTTCCTTTCAGAAAGCACTTTCCTTGGTCTCGCAGCCCTTCTGAACCCATGTGAATGTTTCTGTTCCCACCTCAGGAATTACACCCACTTCCACCATCCCTTGTATGGGAACTGCTACACCTTTAATGACAACAGCAGCAGCCTGTGGACATCCTCACTGCCTGGGATCAATAATGGTGGGTGAGAGGCACTCTTTGGTAAGGACAACAGCTCAGCTCTGTTTTCACCAGGAGCTACTGGTATCTTGCTGTGCTTAACATTTGTGGTGGCAGATAGAAGTCCTGCTCTGTCTTGCCTGAGCTCTATTTTCAGCCATGTGTAGATGGCTGTCCCTCACTGCTGCCTTATTGAACTCTCCCATCTGTGTCTGATCCTTGCCTTCTTGCTTTCTCTGGACCTGTGCTGGCCCTTCTTGAAGTCCCTTGAGCTGTAGTGCTGTACTCCTGAGAACCTGGTCTTCAGCTCCTCCTTCCCCATTTTCCACTTTCCAGCAGCTGAACCAATGAACACTGAACCAGTGTTACCAAGCCCCCTGAAACCTGTCTAGGCCCAGTCTTCAGCCTTTTCTTCCATCTATCTTCAAGTCTCTTCATTAAGAAATCTCTTTCAGTTCCCAGTTCTGCTTTTCCTAAGCCACAGTGAAAAAAAAAAACAGTTTTCTCTGGCTTCTCCTCGAGCCTCCAGCTTTGTTTCTGGCCTCCCTCCAGCCACCTTCCATTGCTGCCCAACTTTGGTGCAGTCCTGGTTGATGTTTCTCTTCCCTTACCTCCTACAGACTCTTCTATCCATTCTGCTCTCTCTCTCCACTTCTGCACAACGGCTGCCCATAACCTCGGATGTTTCCTCAGGGCTCTCTCTGGTGGTGCGCACGGAACAGAACGATTTCATCCCTCTGCTGTCCACGGTGACAGGAGCTAGGGTCATGGTCCATGACCAGAACGAGCCAGCCTTCATGGATGATGGGGGTTTCAACGTGCGACCAGGTATCGAGACCTCCATCAGCATGAGAAAGGTGAGGAAGCAGCAGGGGAAGAACTGTGGACATGAGGTTACGGGAGAGGTTTAACTTGGTGAGCAGGTACAGATGGGTTGTCACTGGTCCAGTGTGTGTCTAAGGGAGGGCATTAGTCACATGGAGTGAAGGGAGGGGAAGAAGAGCACCTGACTGAACTAGATGAGAAGCTGCAACGTGACTGTCGGTGAACAATGAAATAAGTGGAAGAAAGCAGGAGAGCTGGCACCCCGAGGAAGGCATAATGAGCAGATACTGATGGACAAGCAGTGTGTGGTGTGGAAACAGAAAGAGAACAGCAAAGTGCCAGTTCTGTGTAATGACTCTTTGGTATTCTAGGAGATGACTGTGCGCCTTGGGGGCAGTTACAGTGATTGCACAGAGGATGGCAGCAACGTGCCCGTGCAAAATCTGTACTCGTCCCGCTACACCGAACAGGTAACTCGCTATAGAGTGATAGAATCATAGCATCGTTAAAGTTGGAAAAGACCTCTAAGATCATTGAGTCCAACCATCAACCCAGTACTACCATGGCCACTAAACCATGTCCTGGAGTACCACGTCCACGTGTTTTTTGAACATGTGAACATGGTGACTCCACCACCTGCCTGGGCAGCCTGTTCCGGTGCTTCCCCACTCTCTCAGTAAAATTCTTTCTAATATCCCATCTGAACCTCTCCTGGTGCCACTCAAGCCCATTTCCTTTTGTCCTATCACTAGTTACATGGGAGAAGAGACCAACACCCACCTCACTACAACCTCCTTTCAGGTAGTCATGGAGCATAATGAGGTTTCCCCTTAGTCTCCTCCAGACTAAACAATCCAAGCTCCCTCAGCTGCTCCTTGTAAGACATATTCCCCAGCCCTCTCACCAGCTTTGTTGCTCTTCTCTGGACCCAGTCCAGCAACTCAATATCTTTCTTATACTACTCTGGTGCACAAAACAACTCCTGGTCCCGTGCTAGTTTGTTTCCCTACTTTTCTGAAATGCTTCAGTCCCCAGCAGTCCTGCTGGTCCGTAGGCTCTGTTAATAGTGTGACGTGATAGAGGCTGCAGTGGGTTTGGTTCCCTTGTTCAGCCTTTTCCACCCCCTGTGCCCCCCAGGTCTGCATTCGCTCCTGCTTTCAGCTCAACATGGTAGAGCGCTGTGGCTGTGCATATTACTTCTACCCCTTGCCTGCTGGAGCAGAGTACTGTGACTACACAAAGCACGTGGCCTGGGGTAAGTGGACAGGAGGAGGAGTAAAGCTTATGCCCACCTGGACCTATTTGGTCCACCTCACATCCCAGTACATCTCATTGTCTTCAGTGTGAACTTCCTGGTGTGGGACATCTGAAAAACACTCTTGTCTCGGATGGTTAGTCCCTCTGAGCCTGTGGAAGGAAACCTCTGGATTCCCCTCGCTGTTGCACATCACCTTTTGGATACAGATACTGTGATCTTACCTGGATTTACTTTCTCTGCTGCTCAGGCTACTGCTATTACAAACTCCTGGCTGAATTCAAAGCTGACGTACTGGGCTGTTTCCACAAGTGTCGGAAACCTTGCAAGTAAGTCTGATCACCAGTTACTCAGGCAGAATGGAAACTCTTTATTCCTCGAGGTGTTGGAAAGCTTTCACTGACCAGGGCAAAAGCTTGAGGTCACAGCTGAGCTGCAACCCAGACTTATATTTCTCCGATCAGGAATTTGAAATGGCTGAGGAGCATCAGTGTCAACTTAGGGGTGAGCTCCTGAGGACTCTGCAGAAGCTCAGTGGGAATTGGGCAGAACTTCAGCATAGGAGGGAGTCTGCAGTTGTGCCTAGGGGGTTAGGAGGCCTGGCCTTGTGGCTCCCGCAGCCTCCACAGCTAATACAGCCTCTTGTCTTGCAGAATGACAGAATACCGGCTGTCAGCTGGATACTCCCGCTGGCCTTCTGCTGTCTCAGAGGTGAGGAGAGGTCTCCTGCCTCCCCAGCACTGCTTTCACCTCCCATTTGGAGACTGGTACTAAACCTACAGGAGATGACTGTGATCGTGTAACACAATTTATTGCACTTTCATTTCAGGACTGGGTTTTTTACGTGCTTTCACAACAAAACAAATACAATATCACATCCAAGAGGTGAGAGCCCCTAAAGAGAGGTTGCATCCAAACCAGAAACCATCCCAGTGTAGTGCGAGTCTGTCAGGGTGTCAGACTAAAGGTTAAATTACTGATGAGATGAGATTGGGCATGGACCCTGTGGACAAGGCCAGTGGATTTGAGTCAGAGTAGAAATAAACAAAATAAACAGACTTGGAATCCAAGTGTAGAATCTGAAAAGGGTCAGACCCTACTATGATATTGTAAGTCCCACCCCAGACAGCTGCTGTGTGATCTGGAGTCATGATAAGGGCTCATGGAAGAGTGGGAAGGAGAGCCAGGCAGGAGCTTGTACTTGCCAACGTTGGGTTGAAACCCAAACTTTGGGTTTCACAGTGCAGTCTCAGAAGTGCACTGCGAGCACCAAAGATTGTATTCAGTGCAGAATGAGGGAACTGCAGAGATTGGGAAAAGCCTCTGTGTGGTATATGTGGGAGGAGGACAGGGGCAGAAGGGAAAAAAGACAATTATGCTTGGTGAAGAAATGCTGAGATTGCAGATTTTGGGTTACTGAGCACCACCTTTGATTTACAGGAATGGTGTTGCCAAAGTGAATATATTTTTTGAGGAGTGGAACTACAAGACCAACGGGGAGTCTCCAGCCTTCACGGTACACACTTTACTGCCATGTCCTCTCTAGCTACCCACTCCAACATGATGTCCCTCCATCATGGGAGGTGTTTGTTCCAGCAGCATTGCTGGTACCAGCTCTCTTTTCCTGCTGCAGGGTGGGGAGGAACTCCCTAGTCCATGGGGGTACTGCTCAGGGGAGCAGACAGCAAGGTAAAAAGCTTGAACAAGGGCTGACCTCGGTGTCCTTTCTCTCTCTCTCGTAGGTAGTAACTCTGCTGTCCCAGCTTGGGAACCAGTGGAGTCTCTGGTTTGGCTCCTCGGTCCTGTCTGTGATGGAGCTTGCAGAGCTGGTTCTGGATTTCCTCGCCATCACCTTTATCCTGGCCCTGCGCTGGTTCCGCTCCCGGCAGCCGCGCTC